GGCCGCCGCGAAGCAGCCGGTGCAGCGCAGCGCGGACGCCCCCTCGGCAGGTGCCGGTGACGACGCGACGCGCCGCGTTCCGAGCCCCGAGCCCGCGCTCCGCGGCCCCGCTGCCCGCGCTCCCGAGGGCCGCCGGAGGCCTGGCGCTCATCATGAGCCGCGGCCACCGGCACGGGGCGAGCAGCGGCTGCCTGGGCACCATGGAGGTGAAAAGCAAGGTGCGCAGGCCGGGCGGGCGGGACCCAGGGCCGGGCTGCTCGGGAGGACGCAGGCGACCTGCGGGATCCAGAACCCGGGCTGCCCGAGGGCGACCTGCGGAATCCAGAGCCCGGGAGGACGCGGGCGACCTGTGAGACCCGGCATTCGGGCCGCTCGGGAGGATGAGGGCGACCTGCGGAATGCAGAGCCCGGGCTGCCCGGGAGGACGCGTCGACCTGCGGGACCCGAAATGCGGGCTCCCCAGGAGAACGAGGGCGACCTACGGGTTCCAGAGCACGGGCTGGCCGGGAGGACGCGGCGACCTGCGGGACCCAGGGCCGGTGGCTAGAAACTTGCCCAGAGCGGCGGCCTGGGGTGCTTGTCTGCTCCTCTGCCGCACAGCACCTGGTTTCAATCTTTCATCCTCCCTCCTTTCTCTAAGGGAGGCATGAGATCCACTCGAATGCAAGTTGGTTCAATAGCTTTGGGGGAGTTGCACCCCAAAGGTTTTCGGGACACCCCATTGTCGAATCCTGTCACCTGTTCCTGGGATTCAGGGCTGCATGGAGTGGAGGAGAGTCATCCTAAAGTTAGCCGAGCTGAGAGGCTTTTTCCCTATTTCCAACTTTGGTATGCATTGAATCTGTGAAATTAGCACTGTCTGCCTCTACACGGAGCAGCACTTGACCGTGGAGGAGATGCTCCTGTCGTTTCACCTTGCAGCCTCTAGATACGGAGCCCTTTCCCCCTCGCGTGTCTGCTGATAATGACTTTGATGTCCAAGAAATTCCTCAGTCGCTAGGGCCGGCAAGGGGGGTGAGCAGACTAGCTTGTAGGGATTGGTTAGGGAATGCTTTTTTCCCAAAGGGGGTTTTCAGGTGGTATTTGAAGGTGATCTACAGCCAAGGAAACATGTCAGCAAGCTTTTCAGGACTTGAAGGGCCAGATGGAGCTGGGATAATCTAGTCTCATTCTCTGAGACTGGCTCAGAAAGGTTGTGGCTTCCCCCCATCTCTACTCCCAGATAAAGCCCGATGCTTTTTATAAAACAGCTTTTAGATTTTATAGAACCGGAATCAGAGGCTATTGCTGGACCTGAGAACGTTTACAACTCACTCAGAGGAAGGCCAGACACACAAACGGAGAGGTGGAGAGCCTACCCATTGCTAATGAACCATGGTTGTTAAGAGAACACTGGGGGAATGCAGGTCCCAGGAGTGTTTTGAGTGCAGCCAGGAAAGCTGCCTGGAGCCTATGGGTAAAGAGGAGTGTTGTGTAGGGTTGAGAGCAAAGGTCTCTAAGCTTCTGTAACTGAAAAGTCACAAATCCACATTTTTATTTTTTTCTTAAATCTGAGACTGACCTGGAACTCACTGTATGTATAGCCAGACTAACCCAGAATTCAGCAGTCCTCCTGCATTGGCTGCTCGGGTGCTGGGATTGAGGGCATGTGTCACAATACATAGCTTTTTATGTCACTGAAAAATATTTATGAATTCCTGTATCAGAAGATGGATGGCCATGGTGATACACACTGTAATCTCAGCACGTGGGAGGCTGAGGCTGGAGGAGTGAGAGTTCTAGGCCAGCCTGAGCTACATAGACTCAGTCTCAATTTTTAGAAAAGAGGGATTTGTATACTAGAATAGGCACTAGTTTCAAAAACAGATCTACTTAATAAGAGTAGAACTTTGTGCTCGGAGAGATAGCACAGCATTTAAGAGAATGTACTCATCTTTCAGAGGACCCAAGTTTGGTTCCTAGCACCCATATCAGGTGGATCACAATGACTTGTAACTCTGGCTCCAGGAGATCCAATGCCTCTGGCCTTCTGGGTACATCACACACACACACACACACACACACACACACACACAAATAAAAGTAATAGATCATAAAAAAGAATAGAACTACTAAGTAGTTTAAGGAGTGCATTCAGGGTTCTCCATGGCATACAACATAGCAGATTGTAGTGATTTTTCTGAAGGGAGGGATAATAGTGATTCAAAAAATGTAGCACTTTGCCTCCAGCCATGCAGTGGCCCTGGTTCCCATGCCTAGCGCTTGAACTTTCTCCTGGCATTTCTGTTGTAGTTTGGGCTTGTGGGAGTTGAGGCTAGAAAAGCAAAGCACTTGTACACTGTGCCATAATGTTAAAAGTCAGTTTTTCCTGATCTTGGTAGTGAGTCTTTAATTTTTTATCATAGGAAAAAATGAGTAGAGAGTCAAGGTGCACTGATACAGTCAAGTTGGAATTCATCTCTGGCGATAGGAAACTGAGCTCTTGAGGACTGGAATTTCAGGCTTTTTGTTTTTCTTTTCTATCTACTGATTTCTGAATATTTGACATAGTTCTGTCTCAAGTTCTTAGTGTCTACTCTACCTGCCATATGCACTTCCAGTGGCCACACCTCTGAGGCGGGAGCAAGCCAGTCAGCACAAACAGTTCTAGCTGTCAGTTCTAGCCCACAGTTCTAGCTGTCAGTGAGTGAGTGCACAGAGTTCTGGGCCTGTGTCTGCGCTTAAAGTGTGAAAATGCATTGTGGATAACTGTTTACTTATTTATTTATTTAGAGACAGACAGCCAGGCGCCACACACCCCCACCTCCCCAGGTCTACTTGAGCTTACAGCAGTCCTGTCTCGACCTCATAGCTACTTGCATTACAAGCATTCACTACTGCCTCACAACATGTATGTTCTGTGCCACTGAACTGTTCCTCCAGTCCAGATTTATTTATTTATTTATTTATTTATTTATTTATTTATTTATTTATTTGAGACAGGGTCTCACTATGTAGCCCTGGCTGGCTTGGAACTCGCTATGTAAACCAGGCTGGCCTCCATCTCACAGAGATCACCTGCCTCTGCCTCCCAAGTGCTAGAATTAAAGGCATGCACCACCACACCAAGTTCAGTCCAGGTTTTTAACAATAATTTCCTTATATGCTACTTGAATGGTGTCAATTTTTATTTAATTTACATTTTTATTCATTTACTTTGTGTGTGCAGGCTTGTGTGTGTGTATGTGTGTGTGCTCACATGTCACAGGCTGTGGGGCTCAAGGAACTTGCAGGAGTTGATTCTTTCCACTGTGGGAGTTAAACTTAGGTGGTCAGATTTGGCAGCTAGTGTCTTTACCTGAGAGTTTTTAAGCAAAACTAGGTAGCATGCAGACCATGGTTTAGAATGTCAACTTTATTATCTTTGCTCTGGGAGGGGAAAAAATGGTCCCGTTAATAAAAGTCATGGACAATGTAAATATAAGTCTAGTTAAAATGTGATACTAGCAATCTTGTGACTTCTCTGGTAACTGATTTATCTTCCTGATTGTTTCTCTAGAATTGGAAAAGTTCTTTGTGATCATGATGATGTCCTCAAGTAACCTTGATTCCAAGGGCTCCTCTGTTAGGTCTTGCCTAACATGCACAGGCCCTCCATTATCACCAAAGCACCTGCCCAAAGCAAAACTTTAGAACAGTCTTTGAGCCATAAAACTTCCCAATTACTATTCATGGACAAATGAAATATTAACAGTATTTCTAGAAGCCCAGTGTGCTGGTGCATGCCTGTCATCCCAGCACTCAGGAACCAGAGGCAGAGGCAGGAGGATTACTGCGACTTCTAGGCCAGCCAAAGCTGCATAGGGAGATCCTACTGGGGATATGGCTCAGTGGTTAAGAGCACTTTACTGTTCTTCTAGAGGACCCAGGTTTGGTTCCCAGCACCCACGTAGTGGCTAACACCAGTTCCAGGGGATCCAATGCTCTCTTCTGGCCTCCACAGGCACCAAGCACACTCATGGACATAAAATGAAAATAAATCTTAAAAAGAAGGAAAAAAAAACAACTAAATAAATAAATAAATTCTAGAATATACCAGCAGATGCTGGAGGCAAGGAGTCCACATACATTTTGGACAAAACAAATGTAAATTGTTCTGGGAGTGAAGAATTATCTGTTGGAGTTAATTTGATCGCTATCTTATTTTTCTATATGTGCTAAAAAGTTCTTCTAATCCTGTTTGGTTGCTAGAAGTAAAACTGTTCCCACCCCACCCCCTCCCTCCCAACGTTTGCAGAGGGGACATCTGCCTGGAAACCTGCAGGAAGCATTGTTTTCATGGGAACATTTAGGGAGAGGGAAAGAGTTGATCAGAGAACTTCCCTGTAAAAAGCTGTTAAATCATTAATGTCAGCCCCATTCAGACTTGGAAGTGGTGACCCTGGGTTGAGCCAGGCTGCACTGTGGACTGTGACTGTTCAGGCCAGCCTCCAGAAAATGGAGGAGAAACTGACATTGATAACATCCTAAGACTGAGAGATAGTAAGGGTGTGCCCTGGGGTTTCTGTACTCTGAGACATGAAGGTGTGACTGACTTTGAGAACTTCAGATATGAGTCACCTGATTTTCTTGACAAATGTTAGTGTTTATATCTCAGGAATGTGTTTTGGAAACTTTGATTCCTTGAGGGTAAGAGGTGATCAGTGAATTTTCCAGCCATGGATAGAGCAAAAGCTGGGGTCCTCAGATGCCCCTGGGGCCCTGGGGAAACTGGATGAAGGCCTTTCTCTGTATGGCGCAGAAGGCTGATCCTGCAGTCCATCCTAGGAATTTAGAAGGAAAACAAGTTTGGTGGTCAGACGTGTTTGGCAAACATTGGTTTAAAACATTTTTTTTGTGGTTCTAGACTCAGGGCCTTGTACATGCTGGCTCTATGCTCTCCTGCTGAACCACATCTCCAGCGTAAAATGGAAAAAAAAAAATTAACTGTAGGACTTAACTCCCCCCCCCCGCCCATGGATGCTAGGATGGAACCCAGGACCTCAAGCATGCTACCACTGCCCTAGAGCCCTGCCATGAAATGTGCGCTGTGCCGTCTGCCCAGTGGCTCCCAGGATGGGGATTAAAGTTGTGTGACTGGGACACATTTTGAAGGAGGCCGATGAACCTTCTTTGGTTCTATGTTTGAGAAAGTGCCATGGTGAGTTAGGAAGGTGTGGAGCTGTGGACCCAGAAGGTAAATGCTGGAATGGCAGAGGCTGCTTCCTGCTGGTCTTGACAGGCCTGCCTGAAAGATCACTCTCCTGGCACACTGACTGCTGAGCTTTTGAGGCGGACTCAAGCCACCTGGTTAGTCCGAGACCTACCACTGGACCAAACACATACACAATTTTTAATTGGCTCTGATAGGGTTTCTATTTGATTTATTAATAAAGCTTATGTTTTATACTAACTTGGGGAAGATGTTTATCATCTTTAGATGTGTTTCTTGTATGATGATATTTATGCCAAGAGGCTCAAAGTCCTTTTGCTATTCTTAGCCAATGACTCCTGCCACATCCCTGGAGAGGTAGTTTTTTCATGGGAGCGATGCAGACACTTCTGCCAGCAGCAGGAAATGAGAGTTGCACAGGCCTCTGGCACCCTGGGACATAGGTGAGAATACAGCTGTTGGTGGGCTCCAGACAGGGTTGGAAGACGGTTGGGTTGTACGGTTGAGGCCTGAGCACTGGGGATGGTGCAGCCTTGCTGGGAGCGCCCTGGAGACGCATCCAGAATAGGCATGTTTTGTGCCCGCTGCATTTTGCTCCTAGCACAGAGGTTCCTGACAGCAGCTGTCTTTGTTGCGTTGTGCACTTTTCTGTAGTACCTTTTCACGACAGGTTTTCAGCTACGTTTTCTTTTCTTTTTCTTTTTTTAATTATTATTTTTATTTTATGTGTATGAGTGTATTGCCTGCATGTAAGTAAGCGCACCTGCTTTGTGCAATGCCACGGAGGTCAGAAGAGCATTTCAGATTCCCCTGGAACTGGAGTTAAGGACGGTTTGTAGCCACCATGTGGGTGCTGGGAATCAAACCCAGGTCCTCTGTAAGAGCAGTCAGTGCTCCTAATCGCTGAGACATCTCTCCAGCCCCCTCTTTTCTTCTTTTTCAAGACAGGGTCTCAATGTGTAGTCCCAGCTGGCCTAGAACTCATGTAGACCAGGTCAGAGATCCGCCTGCCTCTGCCTCCTGAGTGATGGGATCACAGGTATGTACCACCTTGCCTGGCTAACATTTCAATATGTTTGTTGTATTTGTAGTTTGGAGCTGAGTTTCGTCGGTTTTCACTAGAAAGATCAAAACCTGGAAAATTCGAGGAGTTTTATGGATTACTGCAGCATGTTCACAAGATCCCCAACGTTGACGTGCTGGTGGGCTACGCAGACATCCACGGAGACCTGCTGCCCATAAACAATGACGACAATTACCACAAGGCAGTCTCCACGGCCAACCCACTGCTCAGGATTTTTATACAAAAGAAGGGTGAGTGAGGCTGCTTGCAGCTGTCCTAGAAGTCATGTTTCCCTCCTGGGACGCATAGCTCTGCTGCCAGCTCCATGAGTGAGCATCTTGTGTAAATCTGACTGCAGGAAGGGACAGTTAGCTAAAACATTGTGATATCATTGGCTTAAATAATGTCCAAACACTGCACTGAATGTACTTCAGAAAATCTGTAGTTTAATCATTCATTTTAACCCTTTAGATTGGGGGGAAGGGACTGCAGATGGGGTGCATACACTGTCATGGGTGCCCCTCCTTTCTCATGGGTAAATGGAGTTTGAGAAACCCACTTGAGAGCATTGACCAGTACAGGGATAACTAAGACCTTAGAGTGTCAGCAAAGCCAACTAGAGAGCAACCTGAAAAAAAGAATGGTGATGTCAGACCACTCACTCCCAGGCCTTGGACAGCCCACTGATCAGGTTTCTTTGCTTTTCTGGGTTTGGAGAAACTGAAGTCCACCAACCCCGTCCACTGGGGGTGACTGCAGTCTGTGTCTCCTAAGTGATAGATGGCAGGCTCCATAACAGGAATGCTGGGCACAGTGGCTGACTGCAGGAGGCCCAGTTGGATGCTTAGGGTGAACCGTGTTTAGAGGTCCAGGAGCAGGTAGTAGGACGGTGAGCCAGCTGAGAAGCTGGGCCAGAGAAGAGGGAAGGAAAAGAGCTGTCACAGCACTCAGAGTTGACTGATGGGGAGGGGCACAGCAGAATACAGCTGTGCGTTTGAGCCTGCTGACCTGTGCAGCATTAGAATCTAGTAGAGATGGGTTTGGTTCCTGACCTGACAAATGATCTTACCAGGCTGCAGAATTGGAACACACCATGCAGGAGATTAGAAATAGCAGATTGGAGTTTGGGGTGAGCTAGAGATTGGCACATTAGAAACATAATAGCTGAGATTTAGGGAGTAGATAGAAGACCCAAACTGGACATGTTGGATCACACCTGTAATCTCAGCACTTAGGAGGCCAGGATAGGAAGATTACCACGAGTTTGAAGATAGGCTGGGCTCCATACAAGAGCCTGTCTTGAATGAAACAGCAAAGCAACAGTAAAAGGCTGTGAGCACCAGCAGAACTGATGAGCAGGTCAGCACTTGGGAACCATGTATGTACAGTAGTGGAAAGGTGACTGGCAGGCCTGGAGAGAGGAGGATGGAGCTCGTCATTTTAAGCAGACTTCGTCATTTTGTTTGAATAATAGCCCTTATTAGCAACTGTATTTACTTAGTGAGGGGAGAGGGTCATAAATACCACAGCATACATTTAGAGGCTGTAGAGGACAACTTGGGAGACTGGAGAGATGGCTCAGTGGTTAAGAGTGCTTGCTGCTCTTGCAGAGGACCTGAATTCAGTTCTAGCAACCATGCAGGGAGCTCACAACTGCCATTAACTCCAGTTACAGAGGGTCCAATGCCATCTTCTGGCCTCTGTGGGCATCAAGCCCACATGTGGTACATATACATATATACAGATGCTCATACACACAAAGTAAAATTAATCTTTGTAATTTTTTAAATTTTTATTTTATGTTCTTGAGTGTTTTGCCTGTATGTATATAAGGGCATCCATGTTGTACAATGTCCTCGGAGGTCAGAAGAGGGGTCAGATCCCTCAGAACTGGAGTTATGGGTGGTTATTAGATACCATGTGATGTTGGGACTCAAATCTGGGTCCTCTGGAAGAGCAGCCAGTGCTCTTAACTTCTGAGCCATCTCCCCAGCCCCTCAAAATCAATAAATCTTAAAGAAGGGGGAAAAAAGGAGGACAGCTTGGGAGTCTGTTCTCTCTTTACATCATGTGGGTCCCAGAGATCTAACTCAGGTCATCAGGCTTAGCAGCAAGTGCTCTTACCTATTGAGCCATCTCTTTCCCAGACCCTTTGTTGTTGTTTTATTTTTACTTGGGTTTTTTTGTTTGTTTTTGTTGTCATTTGTTTTGAGATAGGGCTTTAGTATGTATCCCTTGCTGGCCTGGAATTTGCTGGGTAGTCCAGGATGTCCTCAGACTTAGAGCACTCCTGCTTCATCCTCCTGAGTTCTCGAATTATAGGCATGCATCACCGCAACCAAATTAGTAGGCATTGAAGTTTAGAAGTGTATTAATGGGGCTGTAGAGATGGCTCAGCGGTTAAGCGTACTGACTACTCTTGCAGAGGACCCGGGTTCAATTCCCAGCACCCACATGGCGGCTACGAACCGTCTTTAACTCCAGTTCCAGGGGAATCCAAAGCCTTCTTCTGACCTCTGAGGCATTGACGACACGGGTGCACTCACATACGTGCAGGCAGTACACTCATACACATAAAATTTAAAAAAAAAAAAAAAAAGTGTATTTATATGTGAGCAAATGTTTTATATGTAGCAGAGGTAGAATGTCCAATAAAATTAATGCTCTTAGGACTTGATGTAGAGCTCCAGCCAACAAGATAGCTCAATGGATAAAGGAGCTTGCAACTAAGCCCAGTCACCTAGATTAAATCCCTAAAACCCATATGGTAAAAGGAGAGAACTGTCTCCCACAGATTGTCCCCTCACCCACATGTGTGCTGTGGCATGCATGCACATACACACATGAATACATAGATAAATGTAAAAATGCTTAAAACAAGGGGCTAGAGAGATGGCTCAGGGATTAAGAGCAATGGTTGCTCTTGTAGAGGACCTGGGTTTGAGTCCTAACACCCACATGGCAGCTAATAACCATCTATAACTCCAGTTCCAGGGTATCTGACCCCTCTTTTGACCTCTGAGGACGTTGCATGGCATGGGTACACTTATATGCATGCAGGCAATACACTCATATACATAAAATCAAAATAATAATTTTTTTTTTTTTTTTTGGTCTTTTTGAGACAAAGTCTCCCTGTAGCCCCAGCTGGCCTGGAACTCACTATGTAGACCAGGCTGGCCTCGAACTCACAGACATCCGCCTGCCTCTGCCTCCCAAGTGCTGGGATTAAAGGTGTGCGCCACCATGCCCAGCTAAAATAATATTTTTAAAAAACAAGGGGCTGGAGAGATGGCTCAGCATGATTAAGAGCACTGGCTGCTCTTGTAGGAGAACCTGGATTCAGTTCCCAGCACCCATATGGCAGCTCACAACCATCTGTAACTCCAGTTCCGACACCCTCTTCTGGCCTCTGCAGGCATTACATGCAAGAGGTAGACATAACATGAAGTAAATCCAAAAAAAAAAAATTTTTTTTTTTTCGTCTTTTTGAGATAGGGTCTCCCTGTAGCCCCCAGAACTCACTATGTAGACCAGGCTGGCCTTGAACTCACTGAGATCTGCCTGCCTCTGCCTCCCGAGTGCTGGGATTAAAGGCGTGTGACACCATGCCCAGCCCCCCCCAAATTTTAATGATTAAAACAAGACCCAAAGTGTGTAAGTATGGAATATATGCATACATATTTTGAATGCAAATATGACTTCAACAAAAAATGAAAGGAGGTAAGCCTGTCCACTGTTTCTGACACACCCTGTGATGGCGTCTCCTTCAGCCAATAGAGTCCTGGTACGGACAGCATAGCCTGACCTTCCTGCACCCTCCATTCCTTCACATCCCAGTCGGCCTTAGTGCCTCATCTGTTCCGTTGGCCCTGAGCTGGTTCTCTCTGTCCTGCACTTGCCTTTTCTTTTCGAGGTTGCTGCCTGGCTTTGCCGGAGGGTCTCTTCCCACTGCCTCTCACCTTGACCAGCTTCCCCCCTGAGATCTAGAAGTGCCTTGCTTAGGCATAGGCTGACTGGTTTACATATGTCTGTTGTCTACCAGGTTCCAGCACCAAAGTTGGAGGCAGAGTTACACAGTGCACAGTGACTCTTGATTGGTATTGAGACTTTGTTTAAACAAAGCTGAACAGATGCTTAAGTAGGAAGCTGGTTACATAAGTAGCCCTGAATGAAACAGAAAGCATGGGTTAAGGGTGACTACATTTACTGCTCAGTCACAAGGAGTCTGTTTTCTTAGCCGTTAATTCCAATTAAGGATCAACAGGACATTACAGTCCATCATGGAGAGGGAGGAAAAGAAAAGATCAACAAGGTAGCAGTTACACTCTGGTACCAGGTGACTTTTTTGTTTTTGTTTTTTGGTGGTCCTAAGTTTTGAAACCAGGTCATCATGCATGCTAGGTAAGTACCCTACCACTGAGCTGTGTCTTCATCCCCCAAGTAATTTTTTTAAAACATACCAAAGCCATTTTAAAAATTGAAAACCGTATGATCTTTTAAAACCTGATACTGTACTAAATAAAGTTTCTTTGAGGTGAGAGCTAGAGCTTGTGTGAACTGTCTTACAGTACGGACTCTGAGACAGCAGTGTTGTGTATCTTGAAAATTTCTGTTTTACAACAATTCATTGTTAGAAGAAAAGTCCCATACTCGATTTCTTGGGCTGTTATCATGAAAGCCAAAACAAATACCTGATATCTTAAATGTTATTTTCACAAAGAGAACTCTGAGCTCTTTAGCCAGCTCTCTGCTGGAGGATTAGAGCTTATCCTACCATATTTGAGAGGTGTAAGGCACAGAAGAGCACTTTCCTCTTATTGTTTAGGGCATAGCCATGCACTCAACAGTTTTGGAAAATAGTCGAGGTTGCCTTTAAAAAATATCTAGATCAGGGACTGGAGAGATGGCTCAGGGGTTAAAAACACTGGTTGTTCTTGCAGAGGAACAGGTTCAATTCCGAACACCCACATGGCAGCTTATAACCATCCATAACTCCAGTTCCAGGGGATCCGACACTCACTTCTGACTTCTGTGGGCATTGCAGTACGTGGGTGCGCTTACATACATGCAGGCAATACACTCATACACATAAAATAACTAATAAATATTAAAAACCTATATCCACATCAGGGCCACCAAGACAGCTTAGCTGGTCCACTTGCTGCTTACTGCCCAACCTGACAACCTGAGTTTGATTCCTGGAACCCACATGGTAGAAGGAGAGAACTGACTGATTCGCATACACACA